AGCGACGCGCTCAGCGCCCAGAAGGAGATCTACCAGGTGAAGGAGCAGAGGCTCCGCCTGGCACAGCAGGAGTACCGCCAGCTCAACGACGCGTGGAGGGACAAGTCCACGTCGCAGACGAGCTGTGAGTGACGGCCGAAATCAAAAACCTCCGTCTGTCTGATTTTACATGAGAGATCAGCTCTGAGGCTCTTTGTGTTTGTGATGGTGATGGACAGAGGAGGTCAGCAGGAGTCTGTGACTGATGTCTGCAGACGACACTGTTGTGAGAGCGGGAGGCAGAACGCCTAATTCTGCTGACAGTGACAGCAGTAATCATACATACATGTAGTGATCATGAGAAAAGTGTCAAAAACAGTCATCAGTACAAGAAAATAATAAAAAGAATATAGAAAGATAAAATAAATAATTAAGAAACTATTAAAAATAAAAAAAAATTGGGAATTAATAAATAATAAAATGTACTTTAAGTGAAAAATGTAAAAACAATTCCTTAATTTGAAAAAAGAAAATAATTTTTTAAAATTTTCAAATAAATATAATATTTATAAATATCAATAAAGTTAACATAAAAACAAACAAGTAAAATAAAAATATTTATCAAGATATATAAAAAAAAATGAAAATATTTTTAAAAATAAAAAAATTGAAATTAAAAATGCATTCATATTCAGAATAAAAATACAAATATTTAATAAATATAATTTAATTTAATTCAATAAAAGTAAAATAACGTTTTTATTAATCTGTGCATTGTCACATTTAAAAAATAAATAAATTCTGTATTTATAATTTTTTTGGGGGTTTTCAGCTTTTCTGTTAAAAACTAATTGAGCAGAGGTTTCCTCACTGAGACTGTACCAAACGCTTTGGCCTCAGCCTGAAGCTGAGATCACAGCCTCTCTAACGTCTAATGTCTCGTTGTTTCCACAGTGAATTCCAGATCGTCCTCTTCCAGCAAATACGACCCGGACATCCTCAAAGCCGAGATAGCCACGGCCAAAAGTCGGGTAAGACCACCTCCGTCCAAATAGGAGGCATAACATTAGCTGAGCCTGCAGGCATGTAAACAAACATTGAGAGAGCACGGAGTCACATTTACCTACAGCAGAGGACGACCCACCTGCTTCGATTAGTGAACAGTTTCCACATTAACGGCGGGCGGGCACTGCGGGCTGCTCGGGCGCTTCGCTGCAGGGTGTTGAGCTTTCTGGCCTTCTAGGCTGGTGTAAACCCTGCTGTTGTTCATCTTGAAAGGGGAAAAACAAAGAGCGTCACACACACACCTCCTGGCTGTGGATCAACTATGCTCTTGAAGAGTCACCTGAGTCGAACTCTGGCCACGCCCCCCCACATAGTCAGCATTTTCATTTGTTCAAAGCAGCACGACCACATACCAAACTCATTCTTTCCTCGTGAGATGTTTTGGACTCTTTGAGAGCCGCTTTGCATGACTCACGGTTCAGAATGATCCTTATTGGCCTGATACTTTGATACAAACCATGTCGCCTTCACTCCAACTACTTTTAAGCCAACGTTCTTCTGATTGGTTGAGAGAGAGCCCCTCTGTGACATCATACAGATCTGAGAGTAGAAAAAACTGTCTGAAATGTTTTGTTTAAACACCTGTAGGGTAACACACAGAGCTCAGCTGCTCTGAAGAATTAAACTCCATATTTGTGAGCCACTTTTAAAGATGTAAATAAGACGTTTTGGTCCTGGAGGTTTGGTTTCTAACCCTCACCCCGTCTCTGCCTCTTCTCAGGTGAACAAGTTGAAGCGGGACCTCGCCTGTATGAAGCAGGAGCTGCTGTACAAAGAGCAAGGCTTCGAGACGCTCAAAGAGTGAGTTTTGAAGTTTCCCGTGTCTTCGTCCGTCCTGCTGCGTTGCCTCGATTGCCAGAGGGGTGCGAAGCGAGTCCGTCCTCGCTGAAGGGCAGTGCTGACAGGCGTGCTCGTGAGCAGCCGGCTGGGGGTTCGGTCCTCACCTTTTTCGGCTCCTTATTTAATTTGCGAGGCGGTCAGAATCTGACATGAATAGAAAGTGTTTGTGTGACCTTCCCTCAGTCTCACAGCCCAGTTTAAAGGGCAGACAGGTAGATTAATTCCACCCGGAGAGACAATCTGCAGCCACGTCCTAAAGATTAATGCTCAGCTGTTTCGATATTAGTTTGTTGGGCAGGTTTTCACTTTTTCATTTTGGGTT